ACCCCCCCCCCGTGATGATTTCTCTCCTCCATTAACCCCTTCGGTGCTGTAACTAACTGGCTCTCGCTGTTCTGCTGTGTTCTCTGCCCTCTGGGCCTGGCCCCGTCTGTCCTTGATTTTTCTGTCCGTCCGTCTGTCCTTGATCTCTCTGTCTGTCTGTCTAACCCCCCCTCCCATCCCCCTCACCTCCCCCCGACCCCTGCGTCGGCCTCTCCAGAGATCGGGAACATCCAGAAGGTTTATTTCTTTGACAGCTACGCCGGGGTGTCCCCAGGCCAAGGTGAAAGTACGTCCATGTTCCCCGCCCCCCCCACATCAGCCCCCCTAACTCGCCCTCCCTCACATCACCCGCCCCCCCTCACATCACCCCCCCAGCCTGGGCTGCCCCCCTGCTAAGATCGCTGAGCCCCGGGGCAGATCCCCGCCTTGCCGCGATGGCTAAGTCCCAGGGAGGGGGATCAGGGCCCATCTAGCCAGACCCCCTCTCCCACCAGGCAGTGGCCCCCCAGCCGGCCCTTTGTCAGGTCAGCGGTGCGGGGTGGGGTGGATAAGGGCCGTTCCTCCTTCACCCCTTGACTCATCTGTCTGCTTCCTCCATCCATTCAGGGCCCTTTGCCTGCTACAGCAAGGGGGAGCTCCCACTACCCCAGCCCCACCTCTCCTTGGGGGGGGCACTGTGGGGTGCTGGATGTGTGTGTGGGGGTTCTCCACTACCCCAGCCCCACCTCTCCCAGCAGGGGGCACTGTGGGGCGCTGGCTGTGGGTGGGGGGTTCCCCACTACCCCCAGCCCCACCTCTCCCAGTGGGGGACACAGTGGGGTGCTGGCTGGGGGGGGGGGTTCCCCACTACCCCAGCCCCACCTCTCCCAGCGAGGGGCGGGGGTTCCAGGGATGGGAGGGGGCTCCTGGCTGACCCCACCCCCTCGCCCGCAGTGGACCGGATCGTGGGCCTGGACCAGGTGAGCGGCATGGGGGACGTGGCTTTTGGGCCCTCTTACAAGACCAAGAAGGGGATGTTCCGCACCGTGGGCCAGCTCTACAAGGAGTCGCTGGCCAAACTCATGGCCACCCTGCGCAACACCAACCCCAACTTTGTGCGCTGCATCATCCCCAACCACGAGAAGCGGGTGAGCCATCAGGCCCTGGTGTCAGCTGGGCGTGCGAGGGGGCACAAGGGGAAGGGCCAGTTGCCCCGCCAGGGTGGGGTGTGGCACTCGTGGGGAAGTGGGAACGGCAATGGGAGCAAGGGGGCCGAATCGGGCAAGCGGGGGCAGGGGACCCGTCGTGCAAGAGCAAGGGGGAGTGTGCAAAGCTGGGGGAGCGGCATTGTTTGTGCAGGGGAGTGGGAATGGCCGTGCGAGAGTGAGTGGGAATGTGCACAATCGTGCAAGGGCCATTGTGCATGTGGGGAAGTGTGACCGGCTGTGCGACAGCATGGGGACGTGTGAACTGAATGTGAGAGTTCGGTCTGTGTGTGTGCAAAGCTGGGTGAGCACCGTTGTCCCTGCAGGTGAGACTGAATGGCCGTGTGAGAGCAAGTGTGAGCACACAATTGTGCGAGTGTCATAGTGTGTGTGGGGAAATGTGAACCACTGTGCGAGAGCAAATGTGAGTGTGCACATGTGGCATCGTTCATAGAGGGCAGTGTGACCTGCCATGGAAGAGCAAGTGTGTGTGTGTGTGCAAAACAGTGTGTCATTGTTCATGCAGGGGCATGTGAATGGCCATGCGGGTGTGAGTGTGAAAAATTTTGAGTGCCAATTTCATGCACGGAGTGTGACTGGCTGTGTGAGAGTGATCACAAAATCATGCAGTCGCCATTGTGCCTGTGAGGAAATGTGAACTGTGGTGAGAGCCCCAATGTGAGTGTGCAAAAGTGGCGTTGCTCATGTGCGGCAGTGAAAACTACCATGCAAGATCGAGTGTGAGTGTGCAAAACCATGCAAGCACCGTCAGCATGTGGGGAAGTGTGAACCGTCATGTGAGAGCAAGTGTGCAAAACTGGGTGAGCTCTAGTGTCCCTGCAGGGGAGGGTGAATAGCTGTGCAAGAACAAGCGTGCGTTGAAAATTGTGCAAGTGCCATTATGTGTGCAGGGAAATGTGAATCTCTGTGACCTTGTCCATGCTGGGCAGTGTGACTTGCCATGCAAGAGCAAGCATGAGTGTGCAAAGCTTTGTGAACACCATCAGCGTATTTGGAAGTGTGAACAGCCAGGTGAGAATGAGTGTGCAAAACAGTGCAGACACCATTGTTCATACATGGAATTGTGAACGGCTGTGCAAAAGCAATTGAGTGTGCAAAATTGTGCAAGTGCTTTCAACGTGGGGAGAAGTGTGAACTGCTGTGTGATATGGCGTGTGAGTGCAAAACTGTGCAAGCACCATCAGCCTCCGAGGAAGCGTGTGTTGCAGTGAGAGCGAGCGAGTGTGCACACATATGAAGGTGCTCATGCCCTTGCTGGGCGTGCACCACTCCCCATGTATCCTCACGTGCACACACACACAAATGAAGGAGCATGTGTCCCCGTGAGAGCCGGTGTCAGCCGTTGTGCACAAGGGAAGGCGTGCAAGAGTGGGCTGGCGAAGGGGCTTCTGCAGGGCTGGCACGAGCGTGCCGTGGGTGTGTGTGGAAGTGTGAAGGGACAAGGGCCAGCGAGCATGAGCATGGCTGAGGGTGTGTAGTGCCAGCCTGGGGTGGGCATGCAAACAAGCAGACTCGGGTGGGCGGGCAGCTGGCCTGGTTGGTGTGCACGGCTGCAGCCTGCGTTGGCGCGGTGCCCCTGGGTGGTGGAGGGCCAGTGTGTGGGTGCGAGGGGCCGGGAGCTCTGGCGTGCCAGCCCTGGTGCGCCGCACGAGTGCCCCCTCCCTTCCCTGGGCTTTGACGCTCCCTCCCGCAGGCTGGGAAGCTGGAGCCCCACCTGGTGCTGGACCAGCTGCGCTGCAACGGCGTGCTGGAGGGCATCCGCATCTGCCGCCAGGGCTTCCCCAACCGCATCATCTTCCAGGAGTTCCGCCAGAGGTACCCCCCGGGTTCACCTGCCCCGGTATCCCACCTCCCCCGGCCCCACCTACCCCGGTATCCCGCCTCCCCCGGCCCCATCTACCCCGGTATCCCGCCTCCCCCGGTCCCCGGGTCCATCTACCCCGGTATCCCGCCTCCCCCAGGCCCCATCTACCCCGGTATCCCGCCTCCCCTGGTCCCCGGGTCCACCTACCCCGGTATCCCGCCTCCCCCGGCCCCATCTACCCCGGTATCCCGCCTCCCCCGGCCCCATCTACCCCGGTATCCCGCCTCCCCGTCCACCCTGGGCCCATCTACCCCGGTATCCCACCAGTGATTGCTCTGAACGGGCGTGGGGGGAAGGGGCTGTGTGACCTCTGACCTGTGTTCTCCCCTCCCCCCTGCAGGTACGAGATCCTGACATCCAACGCCATCCCCAAGGGCTTCATGGACGGGAAACAGGCCTGCGAGCGCATGGTACGGGGCGGGGGCGGGGCCTGCCCAGGGGGAGGGGCTCTGAGCGGCAGACCCCACCCACCCTGGGGATTGGCCCCCACGCTGGGAGCAACCCAGACTCGGGGGGCGTCAGCAGTGGGAGGCAGTGGGGCTGGGACCCACAACCTTGAGTTTCCTGCCCCCGGCACCTGTCCCCGGGTTCTTCCTTGCCCCACCCCCTCATCGCCAGCCCCCCACTCCCCAGCCATCCCCCCATCCACCTCCTCATTGCCCCAACCCCCATCCCAGCCATCCCCCCATCCTGCC